AGCCCCTGCCTGAGCCAGCTGCTGACCGCAGGTAACGGGCTGGTTGCTGCGTGGAGATGCAGGGGCGAGCTGGTGGTGGGAGGGATGCTATGGGGGGGATCAAAGGGGGGACCCTGCTCTCCCCTCGGGTTTGGGACATTGGAGATGCTGGACAGGGCGCGTGGCTGTCCCTGAGGTGGAACAGCACCAAACCCAGCACTGAAGCTGTGCCTGGGGGAGCCCCCCCAGCTCCAGCAGCCTTGGGAGGGAGATGGGGCCCAGGGAGCCCCAGGGCTTGGCCACGAGCACTGCTGCAAAGTCCCCATGTCCCCAGCCTGGTCTCCATGGCCCTCCATGGATGGGCTGAGGGGTCACCAGTGTCCTGCTCAACCCAGTGCCCATGCATGCGATAGGACAGGTCCCACAGTTGTGCCCAGCCCCATGCTGGGCTGGGGAGGGGCTGGGGGTCTCTGCCTGCACCAAAGCTCTCCAGGACACCCACACTGCAGGGAGCAAAGGCACTTCTCTCCAGGGGCTGCTTCACCCTTCCCTGGGGCAGATGGGCACGGAAAGAACTACAGCAACACTGGTGCTGGTAGCTGTCTGTCCCATGGGGCAGGAAAGGTCACCTAAGCCCCAACACCCTCACGCAGCAGCACCCTTCTGCTTCCTGCCCTCTTGCAGCCAAGCAGGAGCCAGCCCTGGATACCACACGCCTGATGGGCACAGGACTCATGCCCGCATCCCCTGTCTCCCTGGTAAGCACTCACCTACCCCCCAGGTTGGGAATTGTCCCCTCCCAGGTCAGGAATTGCCTTCACCTGGTTGCTGGGGCAAGGGTAGAGATGGGGCGGGGGGAGATGGGTCTCTGTGGGGTTATACTCTGCAATATGGGGCTGGACAGGCACAGGACATATGGACAGGGTGGCAGGAGTATCCTGAGTATTTTCTCCCATAAAAGAAACAGGGTAGAGGTGGGAAACACCCCATTTGCAGAGCCCCTTTCCTGGCAATGCTGCCCTGGGGCATTGGGGCTGGGGCTGACCCTGTAGACAGTGGGATGCCCCATATGGACGGAGCTGCACGTCCACCTCCCCAGTCCCCTCATGGGCATTCGGCTGTCAGTGCCCAAGCACCGACTGACCAAAGGGGAAGGTCTGGTCCGCGGCGTGCATGAGTCGCTGGGCCCCCAAGCTCCAGCTTCCCTCTGCCTTCTCCCAGCAGCAGAGTGCTGTCCCTGACGTCCCGGCCACCTTCCTCTCCAGAATGGCTCAACTGAGGCCACGCGCTCAACTGAGCCCAGGACTGGCTCCTGGCTCCAGCCCTCCCCAAGCGCTGCCAGTGCCGCTGGCAGGCACCCAGCCAGGCCCACTGCTGGTCCCCAAGGCAGAGCGGCTGTCCCCCACATCGGCTTGTGGTGAGTCTGAGGCACCCGAAGGAGCTCCACAGGACACTGCATTTCCTGCATGGAGCTTGACCAAACATTGTAGGAATGTTTCATTTCAGCTTCAATCCCAGCCATTTACATTTACCCAGCTAAGTACGGATGATTTCTTTCCATGGGGGAAGGCACAGCCCCTTCACCTGCATCCTTCTACAGGGGCAAAAGCAGAAAAAAGGAGCAGAATGTCAGACTGTGGTTTTGAAAAAACAGAGCTTGGTTTTCAAGTGGGAAGCACCCTGCTTTTGCCCACAGAAACCAGAGCAGCAACTGGAAACCAGGCCCTGGTGTCGTTCCCAGTTTCAGTTTGGTGTTGCAGACTGCAGCCTTGCTGCTCTCAGAACTCTCTCCTGGTGATTTCCACCCCAAGAAACACTGGGAATTTAAAACATCATGTCCCATATGTTCCCATTTCTGAGCAGTTGTAAAATGAGATGGATTTGGGATATGACAAAGCAAGAAGATGTGGTCAGATGCTGGACCATCTGTGGGTGGTGTGGAGTGGTGGTGAGTGCCCCAGGGCTGGGGTATTGCTGCAGGCTGCTCTTCTCTGCCCCGTCCCAGTGCCAGACCCTGGTGTCAGCCCATCACGAGGGGCTGCTGCTGCTGCTGTCCCTCTCCCTAGAGCATCACCTTTCCTCTTCCAGGCAGCGACTGGCCCAAGCCCAGCCAGGCTTCCCCAGGACCTGCTGTGAGGCTGGGCGCTGGCATCTCCCTGCACCACCCTGTGTCCCGTCGGGGCAGGCCTGAGTCCAGCAAGGTATGGCAGGAGCAAGTGCTGCCTTTGCTACGGGGGCACCATCTCCATATGCACCCCCCTTTCCTGCTGCCCCTCAAAACTCCTGCCCTACCCTTGATGCAAGCTTTGGGACAGCCCACCTCTGACGGGGCAGGTAGCCCAGGGCCATCCCCACTGCCAGGAGGTGCCTGACAACGCTTGCCCACAGATGGAGAGCCGCCGCATCACACACATCTCTGCTGAGCAGAAGAGACGCTTCAACATCAAGCTGGGCTTCGACACACTGCACAGCCTGGTGAGCACGCTGAGCGCCCAGCCCAGCATCAAGGTGAGCACCCAAGGCTGCATGGACTGGCCCTGGGCACACAGGGACATGGTGCATCACCCAGGAGTGCTGCATCCCTGGTCTGCCCCTGTGCACAGGGCAGGAGGCTGCAAGCCCACACCAGGTACACAGAGACCCATACAGTGCAGCCGTGCCAGGGTGGTCTGGGCTCTGGAGCCCAGGGCAGAAGCTGCCAAGGCTTGGCAGCAGGGAACATGGCCCCTTGCACTGCCAGCCCTGCTGCACAAGGTGCCGGGTGCCCCACACCCTGCCCACCCTGGGGACTCCCTTCGCCTTCTCACCCTGTGACCCCACAGGTCAGCAAGGCCACCACCTTGCAGAAGACAGCTGAGTATATCTGCAAGCTGCAGCAGGAGCGGGCAGCCCTGCAGGACGAGGCACAGCGGCTGCGGGAACAGATTGAGGAGCTCAATGGCTCCATCAAGTAAGGGGGGCATGGCTGGGAGAGGTTGGAGGGAGACACTGCCTGCATTGGGGTAGCCAGGCAGGGCAAGTGGCAGCACCAGGGAGGCAGCAGGACACAGCAGGTCTTCTGAGCATCTCCCAGGACCTGCACTTGACTCTGTCTCCCCTCAAATCCTGTTTCTGGGCGGGAAGCTCAAGAGGGAGTGCTGTGTGGGACCAGAGCATGGGCCCATGCCCCACAGCTGCCCTGGGAGGGGGACACTGCCTGCCCAACCCTGCTGAGAGCTGAGGTCCTGCCAGAGAGTCTCCCCACAGGGCTGCCTTTGTGGCTCCAAGCCTCCTGAACATGGACCCATGGTGCTGCTTGTGCCCCACAGCCTGTGCCAGGAGCAGCTGCCAGCCACAGGGGTGCCCATCACACGCCAACGCTTCGACCAGATGCGCAGTATGTTTGACGAGTATGTCCGCTCCTCCACGCTGCAGAACTGGAAGTTCTGGATTGTATCCTTTGGGGCCAGTACCTGCTGCTTGCTCTGACCCCTCCACCAAGCACTAGGTCCTCTGGTTCACCTGCTGCTCCTGGGACTGTGATGTCCCTCCAGCTCAGGAGGCTCTGGGGACCACAGGGAGATGTTTCCCAGCCAAGGGCACATGGTGGGAACACGCTGAGATGCTGCGGGTAGAAGGAAGTTTCTGTTACAAGGGAGCAAACAGAGTAGTAAGTTGGTCCTTGGGGAGAAGGAAGGGCACTTTCTCAATGGTGGAGCTGAGCTCATGCAGGGAAGAGCTCCTGGTGCCATGGGAACTGGCTCTGAGAGGCAGCAGCCATCAACTAGAGATTAGGAAAGGTCCAGACACAAAGCTGGGGACATGATGGCTTGGCCTTGGTGGCTGTGTGGCACATCCTGGAAACTCAGGTGTGCCCATGCCTGGGACACAAGTCTGGGCTCCACATGGTGGAGAGGATGAAGGAGGACCAAGGGCCAGGGAATGGATGGTCAAAGGGCTAGGTCTGCTTCTCTGTGAGCGGGGAGGGATTAGACACACTGGGACCACCAAGCCTGTAGAGACTGATGTCTACAAAATCCCAAGGGGCAGAGGGATGGGCAGGCCTTGCTGCCCACAGTCTGCTTCAGTGCAGGCAGCCTGGGCAAGGCAGAAGTGGCTCCTGACAGTGTTTGAGAGCTCCATGGATCTCCTTCCACAGGACACTTGGTATGCTAAAGCCAACATGGGCTCCAGGACATGCTCATGGTGGAGGCATCTGCTGTGGATTACTACATGCACAAAGTCACCACTTCTCAGGGGTGGTCCCTGCAGGCTGGGAGCACCAGGGGAACACACTGGTTGCACTGGTGTTGTGCCCTGCTCCAGCACTAGCTGGCTCCTTGTTCTGCTTTGGAAGAGTTGTCTTGTGTCTAAACAACCATTTCTGGCAGCCCCAGTCATGGTGGGGACTATGCAGCCCTGCCACTGCCTGCCCTGGTGACACTCATGTCCCCGCCACCCCAGCAGTACGGGCTGGTGCCCAGCATGGTGCTGGTCTGAGGGAGGCAGCCAACCTAGCAGGTTGGCTCCATGGCCAGGAAGGGAGGTTTGTCCTGCTGCCTGTAGGAGAGTACTGCCCACACCTGGAGAGTGGGAGACCATGGCCTTGGCAAGACTGATCCTTAACTCCTCTGCTCCCATCAGTTCAGTATCATCATCCGGCCCCTCTTTGAGTCTTTCAACGGCATGGTCTCCACAGCCAGCATGGAGAGCCTCACCCAGACGTCTCTCGCCTGGCTGGACCAGCACTGCTCCCTCCCAGCGCTTCGGCCAAGTAGGTGGCCCTGTTCCTGTCCATGGCACCCCAAAGAAGCCGGGCTGGCCTGCTGGCATGGACTGACCAGCTCTGCAGCTTCGGAGGGAAAAGCAGAGGGAAAAAGACAGGGGGGTCCTGCGGGGCAGTGGAGCTGGCGCTGTACCATGTTTCTGCCACATGGGAGGGAAGCACCTGCGGGACATCCTGAGGCTGTGTGCTCGGTGCTTTTCCGTGCTCTTTTCACACTCATGTTCCAGCTAAGCTGGCTGCTGCTGCCCTAACCCAAGAGCCTGTGTCCTGGCTTGGCAGGGCTCAGCTCTCCCAAAGCCCCACAGGGTGGGTTTCCCTTCAGCCTGCCTGCCAAGGGCTCTGGCAGAGAGCTATTGTGCCATTCCAGGGACCATGGCAGGGCTGGAGCAGGGTCAGGAAGAGCCATCTCCCCGGATGGGGCAGCTGACATGTCTCATATCTCCCCACAGCCGTCCTGAGCTCCCTCCGGCAGCTGAGCATTTCCACCTCCATCCTGAGTGACCCGGCCTGCATCCCCG